GGACTGACAGTTTTGCTGTTTTTAATTTGTGCTTTCCTCAAACACTTTGGCTAAATCAATAATTGCTTGTTGCTCTGCTCTGAGGTTTGTTTAGTCTTTTGAGGCGCATGACATTTCTACTGTGGTCCCATCTTGCAGCATGATGACTGTTCCAGCTCCTCCATTTTTTTCTGCTTCCTCCAATGAGCCATCAGTGTAAACGTGTGTCCATTCGGGTTTTAACTGTTGTAGTATGTTGTAGACATGTTCAAGGGTCTTTGCATGTAGTACTAGGTCACATTCTTCAGCCTTTCTGTCTATGCCTGGAATTTTTGTTGTGACTTTATAGTTAGGCTGTAGATCTATGCTGTATGCCTGGATCATTTCCCATGTTGAAGGATCTTTAGAAAGGATGTCACTGTTTTTTGTGTACTTCAATTTTGATAGATGGTGTAAGCTTTGTCTTTTCAGTCGGTTTTTAGTTATTTGCTATTATGTGCATGAGGTTGTTCATGCATTTACATTTTTCTGTTAGGGTAAGCACCTTTTTTTTCCTTCGAAGGCTCAAGCTCTTGAGGCCAGAAGTTGCATCCAGCTTATGGATGGTGTGCTTCTCATACCTCCAGTGATGATTCTGAGACCAGTGTTCTGTATTTTATCCAGTTTGGGTACGTTTGATTTGGCTGCAGTGGAGTATGCTCCCATGCCATACTCTAGTTTTGGTTGTACGTATCCAGTGTATACTTGTCGTAAAATGTTGGCATCTGCACCCCAGCTTGTACCAGTGAGTTTCTTCATAAGTCTGAGCCTCACGGTAGCTTTCCTTTGAGTGTCTTCAATGTGGGGGCCCCATGTTAGCCTTTTGTCAAATTTTACTCCCAAATATGTGGGGTTATCCTCTTTTGGAAGGATGTTGCTGAATATGATCAGAACTTATTTGTAGCATTTGTAGACCAGCAGAATGTTTTCGACAGGGTTGTTAGACAAAAATTATGGAAAGTAATGGATCGATATGCAGTAAGTGAACACCTCATTGAAGTTTGCAAAATCTAATATTGCGATTGTAGAAGCTTAGTTAGTATAAATCAGGGAACATCTAAACCATTCAAAGTAACATTTGGAGTAAGACATGGATGTGTCTTATTACCACTCCTGTTTATCACCTGCATTGTCATTCTTTAAATGTGTCTGTCATTCTTTACATGCGCATCCTTTCTGACATGCATATGTCATTCTTTGCATGCACCTATCATTTCTGACATATATGTGTCATTTCTGAAATGTATATGTCATTCTTTATATGCACATGTCATTTCTGACATGTATGTGCTATTCTTTGCATGTGCATGTCATTTCTGACATGTATGTGCTATTCTTTGCATGTGCATGTCATTTCTGACATGTATGTGCTATTCTTTGCATGTGCATCATTTTTTAAATGTATGAGTCATTCTTTACATGTACATGTCATTTCTGACATGCACATATCATTTCTGACATGCACATATCATTTCTGACATGCACATATCCTTTCTGACATGCACATATCATTTCTGACATGTGTGTGTCATTCTTACCTGTACTTGCAATTTCTGACATGCATGTGTCATATATGACATGGATGTGCCTTTAAACAAATCTACTTTTCATTCTTTACTTGCACATGTCATTTCTGTCATGCATGTGTCATTCTTTACATCCACCTATCATTTCTGACATGCATGTGTCATTCTTTACATGCACCTGTCATTTCTGACATGCATGTGTCATTCTTTACATGCACCTGTCATTTCTGTCATGTATGTGTCATTCTTTACATGTGCCTGTCATTTTTGACATGCATGTGTCATTCTTTACATGCCCGTCATTGCTGACATGCATGTGTCATTCTTTACTTGCACATGTCATTTCTGTCATGTATGTGTCATTCTTTACATGTGCCTGTCATTTTTGACATGCATGTGTCATTCTTTACTTGCACATGTCATTTCTGTCATGCATGTATCATTCTTTACTTGCCCGTCATTGCTGTCATGCTTGTGTCATTCTTTACATGCCCGTCATTGCTGTCATGCATGTGTCATTCTTTACATGCCCGTCATTTCTGTCATGCATGTGTCATTCTTTACATGCCCCTCATTGCTGACATGCATGTGTCATTCTTTACATGCCCGTCATTGCTGACATGCATGTGTCATTCTTTTCATACCCGTCATTGCTGACATGCTTGTGTCATTCTTTACATGCCCGTCATTGCTGACATGCTTGTGTCATTCTTTACATGCCCGTCATTGCTGACATGCTTGTGTCATTCTTTACATGCCCGTCATTGCTGACATGCTTGTGTCATTCTTTACATGCCCGTCATTGCTGACATGCTTGTGTCATTCTTTACATGCCCGTCATTGCTGACATGCATGTGTCATTCTTTACATGCCTATCATTGCTGACATGCATGTGTCATTCTTTACATGCCCGTCATTGCTGACATGCTTGTGTCATTCTTTACATGCCCGTCATTGCTGACATGCATGTGTCATTCTTTACATGCCCGTCATTGCTGACATGCATGTGTCATTCTTTACATGCCCATCATTGCTGACATGCATGTGTCATTCTTTACATGCCCGTCATTGCTGACATGCATGTGTCATTCTTTACATGCCCATCATTGCTGACATGCATGTGTCATTCTTTACATGCCCGTCATTGCTGACATGCATGTGTCATTCTTTACATGCCCATCATTGCTGACATGCATGTGTCATTCTTTACATGCCCGTATCATTGCTGACATGCATGTGTCATTCTTTACATGCCCATCATTGCTGACATGCATGTGTCATTCTTTACTTGCACATGTCATTGCTGACATGCATGTGTCATTCTTTACTTGCACATGTCATTGCTGACATGCATGTGTCATTCTTTACATGCACCTGTCATTTCTGTCATGCATGTGTCATTCTTTACATGCACCTATCATTTCTGTCATGCATGTGTCATTCTTTACATGCACCTGTCATTTCTGTCATGCATGTGTCATTCTTTACATGCGCCTATCATTTCTGTCATGCATGTGTCATTCTTTACATGCACCTGTCATTTCTGTCATGCATGTGTCATTCTTTACATGCATGCACCTTTATCATGCATGTGTCATGCATGTGTCATTCTTTACATGCGCCTGTCATTTTTGACATGCATGTGTCATTCTTTACATGCGCCTGTCATTTCTGACATGCATGTGTCATTCTTTACATGCCCTATCATTTCTGTGATGCATGTGTCATTCTTTACATGCGCCTGTCATTTCTGTCATGCATGTGTCATTCTTTACATGCGCCTGTCATTTCTGACATGCATGTGTCATTCTTTACATGCACATGTCATTGCTGACATGCATGTGTCATTCTTTACATGCCCGTCATTGCTGACATGCATGTGTCATTCTTTACTTGCACATGTCATTTCTGTCATGCATGTGTCATTCTTTACATGCCCTGTCATTTCTGTCATGCATGTGTCATTCTTTACATGCCCGTCATTGCTGACATGCATGTGTCATTCTTTACATGCGCCTGTCATTTCTGTCATGCATGTGTCATTCTTTACATGCGCCTGTCATTTCTGTCATGCATGTGTCATGTGTGTCATTCTTTACATGCATTCTTTAACTGTGCTATCATTTCTGACATGCATGCATGTGTCATTCTTTACATGCCCATCATTGCTGACATGCATGTGTCATTCTTTACATGCCCTGTCATTGCTGACATGCATGTGTCATTCTTTACATGCATGTGTCCTTTACATCATGCATGTGCTGTCATGCATGTGTCATTCTTTACATGCCCATCATTGCTGTCATGCATGTGTCATTCTTTACATGCGCCTATCATTTTTGACATGCATGTGTCATTTACTTTGTCATTTTTGACATGCATGTGTCATTGAGACATGCATGTGTCATTCTCTGTATTAGAACATGCAGACTACTGGCTGTTAATGTGTTCTCAAGGCAACCAGATCAGAACTGTGCAGTAATTTCTCTATGATCATTGTTTGACATTGTCACCGTCCCAGCAGAGAATGCAAACATCACTGTCTTTTGTAATTCACTCAGCGACTCGTAAAGTTTGACTTGCTTCTCTTGTTTCTCTTGGCCAAAAGTTTTGCCTTGATATGTTGTATTTGGAGGTCATAATCTGTTGTCTCAGGTGCCAGTCCACATGTGCACATGGCTGATTCGGCGATTAAAAATGTTGTTTACATGTGGCTGCGAAGTCGATCGTGTCCTGTTCTAAAGGGGTAGAAAAATAACTTGCTCTGGTCTGTCCATGAAATGGTAATTGTCTTGTGCCAGTTTTGGTGGCTTTCTGATTGATTTAATTATTCTCTTCTTTTGTTGATAAGAGTCTGGTACATCAGGTTGTTCTTCATTTGCACCTTCCTTAGCTAGTTTATCAACTCTTTCATTTCCAGGAACTCCACAATGGGATGGTATCCATTGCAAGCATAACCTCTGACCTTTCTATTCTGACTTGAGTAGTGATCTTCTGGCATCAGCATCTCTAACTGTTGGGGACCAGTTCAGCGTCTTATTTGATTTTATGTATAAATAATTGTTGAATGACACTGAAGCGAAACTTGAGGGATTGCGGCTCATTTGTAGATACTCTACCGCAAGAATTACAATCCTTATTCATGTACTGTAGACAGAACATGTCAGTGTCATTGCAAGGCCATGGCTGGTTTTCAGTTGCAAATGACAAGCTTTGTATTAATTATCAATGAGCATAAGAGTCGACATTGTGGGTCAGTGAATGAAGCTTGGGGAAGACAACTACAAAACAGATACCGGCAGAAGGTTTGGGACATCAAAGCTAATTGTGTCAATAGGTTAGGTAACTGTATCCTTTCTGACCTTCTCCCTCACCATCTTCGAGCCAGGAAAGTATGTCTGGTCAAAGAGTCAGTGTGGTGTGGAGAAATGTGTGGGGGAATGTGAGAGTGGGCAGTTATATGTTTATGACATGTGTGTGTGTGTGTGTCTGCATGCGTGTGTGCTTGTTTGTTTGTTTGTTAATGTCCAGGCAGTGATTGTTGTTGATACCAGGACAGTTAGACTGTAAGTAGTGATTTTTGTTGATGTCAGGACAGTTAGACTGTAGGTAGTGATTGTTGTTGATGTCAGGACAGTTAGACTGTAGGTAGTGATTGCTGTTGATGTCGGGACAGTTAGACTGTAAGCAGTGATTGTTGTTGATGTCATGATAGTTAGACTTTAAGCAGTGATTGTTTTTGATGTCAGGACAGTTAGACTGTAGGTAGTGATTGTTGTTGATGTCAGGACAGTTAGACTGTAGGTAGTGATTGTTGTTGATGTCAGGACAGTTAGACTGTAGGTAGTGATTGTTGTTGATGTCAGGACAGTTAGACTGTAGGTAGTGATTGTTGTTGATGTCAGGACAGTTAGACTGTAGGTAGTGATTGTTGTTGATGTCAGGACAGTTAGACTGTAGGTAGTGATTGTTGTTGATGTCAGGACAGTTAGACTGTAGGTAGTGATTGTTGTTGATGTCGGGACAGTTAGACTGTAAGCAGTGATTGTTGTTGATGTCATGATAGTTAGACTTTAAGCAGTGATTGTTTTTGATGTCAGGACAGTTAGACTGTAAGTAGTGATTGCTGTTGATGTCATGACAGTTAGACTGTAAGTAGTGATTGTTGTTGATGTCAGGACAGTTAGACTGTAAGTAGTGATTGTTGTTGATGGCAGGACAGTTAGACTGTAAGCAGTGATTGTTGTTGATGTCGGGACAGTTAGACTGTAAGCAGTGATTGTTGTTGATGTCGGGACAGTTAGACTGTAAGCAGTGATTGCTGTTGATGTCGGGACAGCTAGACTGTAAGCAGTGATTGCTGTTGATGGCAGGACAGTTAGACTGTAAGCAGTGATTGTTGTTGATGTCGGGACAGTTAGACTGTAAGCAGTGATTGTTGTTGATGTCGGGACAGTTAGACTGTAAGCAGTGATTGCTGTTGATGTCGGGACAGTTAGACTGTAAGCAGTGATTGTTGTTGATGTCGGGACAGTTAGACTGTAAGCAGTGATTGCTGTTGATGTCGGGACAGTTAGACTGTAGGCAGTGATTGTTGTTGATGTCAGGACAGTTAGACTGTAGGCAGTCATTGTTGTTGATGGCAGGACAGTTAGACTGTAGGTAGTGATTGCTGTTGATGTCGGGACAGTTAGACTGTAAGCAGTGATTGTTGTTGATGTCAGGACAGTTAGACTGTAGGGCAGTCATTGTTGTTGATGGCAGGACAGTTAGACTGTAGGTAGTGATTGCTGTTGATGTCGGGACAGTTAGACTGTAAGCAGTGATTGTTGTTGATGTCAGGACAGTTAGACTGTAGGCAGTCATTGTTGTTGATGGCAGGACAGTTAGACTGTAGGTAGTGATTGCTGTTGATGTCGGGACAGTTAGACTGTAAGCAGTGATTGTTGATGACAGGACAGTTAGACTGTAGGTAGTGATTGCTGTTGATGTCGGGACAGTTAGACTGTAAGCAGTGATTGTTGTTGATGTCAGGACAGTTAGACTGTAGGCAGTCATTGTTGAAGATGGCAGGACAGTTAGACTGTAGGTAGTGATTGCTGTTGATGTCGGGACAGTTAGACTGTAAGCAATGATTGTTGATGTCAGGACAGTTAGACTGTAAGCAGTCATTGTTGTTGATGGCAGGACAGTTAGACTGTAGGCAGTGATTGCTGTTGATGTCGGGACAGTTAGACTGTAAGCAGTGATTGCTGTTGATGTCGGGACAGTTAGACTGTAGGCAGTGATTGTTGTTGATGTCAGGACAGTTAGACTGTAGGCAGTCATTGTTGTTGATGGCAGGACAGTTAGACTGTAGGTAGTGATTGCTGTTGATGTCGGGACAGTTAGACTGTAAGCAGTGATTGTTGTTGATGTCAGGACAGTTAGACTGTAGGCAGTCATTGTTGTTGATGGCAGGACAGTTAGACTGTAGGTAGTGATTGCTGTTGATGTCGGGACAGTTAGACTGTAAGCAGTGATTGTTGTTGATGTCAGGACAGTTAGACTGTAGGCAGTCATTGTTGTTGATGGCAGGACAGTTAGACTGTAGGTAGTGATTGCTGTTGATGTCGGGACAGTTAGACTGTAAGCAGTGATTGTTGATGACAGGACAGTTAGACTGTAGGTAGTGATTGCTGTTGATGTCGGGACAGTTAGACTGTAAGCAGTGATTGTTGTTGATGTCAGGACAGTTAGACTGTAGGCAGTCATTGTTGTTGATGGCAGGACAGTTAGACTGTAGGTAGTGATTGCTGTTGATGTCGGGACAGTTAGACTGTAAGCAGTGATTGTTGTTGATGTCAGGACAGTTAGACTGTAGGCAGTCATTGTTGTTGATGGCAGGACAGTTAGACTGTAGGTAGTGATTGCTGTTGATGTCGGGACAGTTAGACTGTAAGCAGTGATTGTTGTTGATGTCGGGACAGTTAGACTGTAGGCAGTCATTGTTGTTGATGTCAGGACAGTTAGACTGTAAGTAGTGATTGTTGTTGATGTCAGGACAGTTAGACTGTAGGCAGTCATTGTTGTTGATGGCAGGACAGTTAGACTGTAGGTAGTGATTGCTGTTGATGTCGGGACAGTTAGACTGTAAGCAGTGATTGTTGTTGATGTCAGGACAGTTAGACTGTAGGCAGTCATTGTTGTTGATGGCAGGACAGTTAGACTGTAGGTAGTGATTGCTGTTGATGTCGGGACAGTTAGACTGTAAGCAGTGATTGTTGATGTCAGGACAGTTAGACTGTAAGCAGTCATTGTTGTTGATGGCAGGACAGTTAGACTGTAGGCAGTGATTGCTGTTGATGTCGGGACAGTTAGACTGTAAGCAGTGATTGTTGATGACAGGACAGTTAGACTGTAGGTAGTGATTGCTGTTGATGTCGGGACAGTTAGACTGTAAGCAGTGATTGTTGTTGATGTCAGGACAGTTAGACTGTAGGCAGTCATTGTTGTTGATGTCAGGACAGTTAGACTGTAGGCAGTCATTGTTGTTGATGGCAGGACAGTTAGACTGTAGGTAGTGATTGCTGTTGATGTCGGGACAGTTAGACTGTAAGCAGTGATTGTTGTTGATGTCAGGACAGTTAGACTGTAGGCAGTCATTGTTGTTGATGGCAGGACAGTTAGACTGTAGGTAGTGATTGCTGTTGATGTCGGGACAGTTAGACTGTAAGCAGTGATTGTTGTTGATGTCAGGACAGTTAGACTGTAGGCAGTCATTGTTGTTGATGGCAGGACAGTTAGACTGTAGGTAGTGATTGCTGTTGATGTCGGGACAGTTAGACTGTAAGCAGTGATTGTTGATGACAGGACAGTTAGACTGTAGGTAGTGATTGCTGTTGATGTCGGGACAGTTAGACTGTAAGCAGTGATTGTTGTTGATGTCAGGACAGTTAGACTGTAGGCAGTCATTGTTGTTGATGGCAGGACAGTTAGACTGTAGGCAGTGATTGTTGATGACAGGACAGTTAGACTGAGATGAGGATTGTTGATGGTAGGACAGTTAGACGCAGGTGATGATTGTTGATGGTAGGACAGTTAGACGCAGGTGATGATTGTTGATGTCAGGACAATTAGACTCAGGTGATGATTGTTAATGTTATGCCCTCAGCCATCTGCCACCAAGTCAGGGAGGCAGGTACACAGGGTTTGGAAACACTCCAGTAGAACAGAAGAGGGATGACTTCTTGGACAACACACTGTCCTCCCTGTCGTCTGTAAGTAGCTGTTGTCTCTGTCAGTTAGTCTGATAACTGTTTCAGATGTGCATGTGTGTGTATGTAATTGTGTGTGTGTTAATGTGTTAAGTGTGTGTGTGAGTGTGTGTGCATGTGAGTCCGCGTGTGTGTGAAGCATGTTTCAGGGAAAGCTTACTACCGCTGGTAGAGAACTTGAAATAGATACACATAGATGGACAGGACAGTGACTTAAACAGGAGATACATTTGTTTGCTCAGGACAAGAGCAGAGTGGTTTGCATGCAGTTGGTTTTCTAATGAGGGAAAAACAAATTCTTTTAACACTGTTTGGATATAATGTCTTTTTGTCTGGCTGAAATCAAAGAAAGGGAGCATCACCATTATTTAAGTGTATGCGCTGACATCTGCTTCGGAGGTAGACAGAATGAAGAATATTGATAGCTGTTTAGAAGAGACATCAGATAGTGTAGGAACAAAGAGACATTGTGATAATCATGGGGGATTTCAATGTCAAAATTGGTGGGAATAGACTCCAGGAAGAAATCAGAAACTGGTGGTCATCTAATCAGCTCTCTAGACTTTTGGTGGTCAGTTGTCATATACTACATGGTTGCATGCTGGTAACCATAGCCTGGACACTGTGTGAGCTTCTTTGGACTCAGACTTGAGCTAGAAGAAAATTGGAGCACTTATGGGTTACTGCCCGTCTGCCATGATGTTGATCCATTGTTCAAAACCTTGAAAACCTCTTGGTCTGCCTCTTCTCATCTTTTCCTCTACTGAGCCCTGCAGTATTGTTTTTGAGAGGCAGATCTGATTACATATCCATAGCATTGCATTTTTCACCTTTTTGAGAGGCAGATCTGATTACATATCCATAGCATTGCATTTTTCAACTTTTTGAGAGGCCGTTAGATCTGATTACATATCCATAGCATTGCATTTTTCACCTTTTTGAGAGGCAGATCTGATTACATGTCTATAGCATTGCATTTTTCACCTTTTTGAGAGGCAGATCTGATTACATATCCATACCATTGCATTTTTCACCTTTTTGAGAGGCAGATCTGATTACATATCCATACCATTGCATTTTCACCTTTTTGAGAGGCAGATCTGATTACATATCCATACCATTGCATTTTCACCTTTTTGAGAGGCAGATCTGATTACATATCCATAGCATTGCATTTTTCAACTTTTTGAGAGGCCGTTAGATCTGATTACATATCCATACCATTGCATTTTTCACCTTTTTGAGAGGCAGATCTGATTACATATCCATAGCATTGCATTTTTCCACTTTTTGAGAGGCTGTGAGATCTGATTACATATCCATACCATTGCATTTTTCAACTTTTTGAGAGGCCGTTAGATCTGATTACATGTCCATAGCATTGCATTTTTCAACTTTTTGAGAGGCCGTTAGATCTGATTACATATCCATACCATTGCATTTTTCACCTTTTTGAGAGGCTGTTAGGTCTGATTACATGTCCATAGCATTGAATTTTTCAACTTTTTGAGAGGCAGATCTGATTACATATCCATAGCATTGCATTTTTCAACTTTTTGAGAGGCTGTTAGATCTGATTACATATCCATAGCATTGCATTTTTTAACTTTTTGAGAGGCCGTTAGATCTGATTACATATCCATAGCATTGCATTTTTCAACTTTTTGAGAGGCCGTTAGATCTGATTACATATCCATAGCATTGCATTTTTTAACTTTTTGAGAGGCCGTTAGATCTGATTACATATCCATAGCATTGCATTTTTCAACTTTTTGAGAGGCCGTTAGATCTGATTACATATCCATAGCATTGCATTTTTCAACTTTTTGAGAGGCAGATCTGATTACATGTCCATGCCATTGCATTTTTCACCTTTTTGAGAGGCCGTTAGATCTGATTACATATCCATACCATTGCATTTTTCACCTTTTTGAGAGGCTGTTAGATCTGATTACATATCCATAGCATTGCATTTTTCAACTTTTTGAGAGGCTGTGAGATCTGATTACATGTCCATAGCATTGAATTTTTCACCTTTTTGAGAGGGCTTTAGATCTTATTACACATCCATGCCATTGCATTTTTCACCTTTTTGAGAGGCAGATCTGATTACATGTCCATAGCATTGCATTTTTCACCTTTTTGAGAGGGCTTTAGATCTGATTACATGTCCATGCCATTGCATTTTTCAACTTTTTGAGAGGCCGTAAGATCTGATTACATGTCCATAGCATTGCATTTTTTCACTTTTTGAGAGGCTGTGAGATCTGATTACATATCCATAGCATTGCATTTTTCAACTTTTTGAGAGGCCGTTAGATCTGATTACATGTCCATAGCATTGCATTTTTCACCTTTTTGAGAGGCAGATCTGATTACATGTCCATAGCATTGCATTTTTTCACCTTTCATCTCTTACAGCACCATTTGGACTATAACATGGAAAAGAATCATCTGTATCCCTCTACTCTCCCCTCCCTCCCCAAATGCTATTGTACCATCACATAAATAAGTCATATTAGCAAAATCCCTTTACGAATTATCATGAAGAGGATTGAAAGAAAACTACAGGATGAGCTACGTGAAGCACAAGCAGGTTTCAGACAGGGTAGAGTAACTAGGGATCAAATTTTTAATGTGAGAATAAGCTTCGAAAATGTAGAGAATACAACGTAAATCTTCATGCTTGTTTCAGTGGATTTAATAAGACCATTGATTGTGTCCAACATCAGAAATTACTGATTGTCATGAGAAGTAAGGGGTTTCCAGCACATATTGTGCATTTAATTGAAAGTTTATGTCAGGAACAACAAGCAGCCGTAGAGCGGCTGGTGAAACATCAGATTGGTTCGAGGTGCAAAAGGGAGTGATATATTCTTTTACCATACCTATTCTTGTTCTTCTTCATTCATCGGCTGTATGCTCCGGTGGAAAGTCCTGGTTGTTCTTCTTCATTCATCGGCTGTATGCTCCGGTGGAAAGTCCTGGTTGTTCTTCTTCATTCATCGGCTGTATGCCCCGGTGGAAAGTCCTGGTTGTTCATCTGCTTGGACTTTGGCTTTGTGTCAGAGCCTGAGTTTTGTGTGTACATCATCCATTTTACATCACTCTCATTTAATGCCAGAAAGAGGGTGCTAAAATGTTGCATAGAACCTTTCTGCTGTATGGCAGTGAATCTTGGAATGTCAGTGAACAAATTAAAAAGAATTTGGAAGCAACAGAGGTGTGGTTTCTGAGACGAATGTTACGAATACCTTGGACGGCCAGAGTACATGTGTACACTCATGTACATGTGTCAGCTCTTGTACATGTGTAAGCTCTTGTACATGTGTCAGCTCTTGTACATGTTTGAACTCTTGCACATGAGTGAGTTCTTGTACATGTTTGAAATCTTGCACATGAGTGAGTTCTTGTACATGTTTGAACTCTTGCACATGAGTGAGTTCTTGTACATGTTTGAAATCTTGCACATGAGTGAGTTCTTGTACATGTTTGAACTCTTGCACATGAGTGAGTTCTTGTACATGTTTGAACTCTTGCACATGAGTGAGTTCTTGTACATGTGTGAACTCTTGTACATGTGTCAACTCTTATACATGTGTCAACTCTTGTACATGTGTGAACTCTTGTTCATGTTTGAACTCTTGCACATGTGTGAACTCTTGTACATGTGTCAACTCTTATACATGTGTCAACTCTTGTACATGTGTGAACTCTTGTTCATGTTTGAACTCTTGCACATGAGTGAGCTCGTGTATATGTGTGAACACTTATACATGTATGAGCTCTTGCACATATGTCAACTCTTGTACATGTGTCAAATCTTGTACATGTGGAAACTCTTGTACATTTGTGATTTATTATACATGTGTGAACTATTATACATGTGTGAACTATTATACATGTGTGAACTATTATACATGTGTGAACTATTATACATGTGTGAACTCTTGTACATGTGTGAACACTTATACATGTATGAGCTCTTGCACATATGTCAACTCTTGTACATGTGTCAAATCTTGTACATGTGGAAACTCTTGTACATTTGTGATTTATTATACATGTGTGAACTATTATTATACATGTGTGAACTCTTGTACATGTGTGAACTCTTGTACATGTGTGAACTATTATACATGTGTGAACTCTTGTACATGTGTAAACTCTTGTACATGTGTGAACTCTTGTACATGTGTGAACTCTTGTACATGTGTGAACTCTTGTACATGTGTGAACTCTCGTAAGTGATCTGTTGTGTATGTGGGAACTTGTGTACATGTGATGTTCCTATTACCCATTGCACATGTTGACATTTGTATTGTACACTCACAGGGCTGGTCCACATTTGCACTGAGTGCTACCAAGTTTGCTTCTGTGGCCACAGAAAAGGTCAGTGCTTGTTGATAGACATTTGTTTTGTTTGTGGGTGAGAGTTCAAAACCCTTAACTATTCACTGTGTTGTGTTCAGCACCAAATTTGTTCACTCTGTTGTGTTCAACATCCTCATCTGTTCACTCTGTTGTGTTCAACATCCTCATCTGTTCACTCTGTTGTGTTCAACACACTCATCTGTTCACTCTGTTGTGTTCAACACACTCATCTGTTCACTCTGTTGTGTTCAACATCCTCATCTGTTCACTGTGTTGTGTTCAACATCCTCATCTGTTCACTCTGTTGTGTTCAACACACTCATCTGTTCACTCTGTTGTGTTCAACAACCTCATCTGTTCACTCTATTGTGTTCAACACACTCATCTGTTCACTCTGTTGTGTTCAACACACTCATCTGTTCACTCTGTTGTGTTCAACGCACTCATCTGTTCACTCTGTTGTGTTCAACACACTCATCTGTTCACTCTGTTGTGTTCAACATCCTCATCTGTTCACTCTGTTGTGTTCAACATCCTCATCTGTTCACTCTGTTGTGTTCAACACACTCATCTGTTCACTCTGTTGTGTTCAACACACTCATCTGTTCACTCTGTTGTGTTCAACACACTCATCTGTTCACTCTGTTGTGTTCAACATCCTCATCTGTTCACTCTGTTGTGTTCAACACACTCATCTGTTCACTCTGTTGTGTTCAACACACTCATCTGTTCACTCTGTTGTGTTCAACACACTCATCTGTTCACTCTGTTGTGTTCAACACACTCATCTGTTCACTCTGTTGTGTTCAACATCCTCATCTGTTCACTCTGTTGTGTTCAACATCCTCATCTGTTCACTCTGTTGTGTTTCAACACACTCATTTGTTCACTCTGTTGTGTTCAACACACTCATCTGTTCACTCTGTTGTGTGTTCAACACACTCATCTGTTCACTCTGTTGTGTTCAACACACTCATCTGTTCACTCTGTTTGTGTTTCACACACACTCATCTGTTCACTCTGTTGTGTTCAACATCCTCATCTGTTCAATCTGTTGTGTTCAACACACTCATCTGTTCACTCTGTTGTGTTCAACACACTCATCTGTTCACTCTGTTGTGTTCAACACACTCATCTGTTCACTCTGTTGTGTTCAACACACTCATCTGTTCACTCTGTTGTGTTCAACATCCTCATCTGTTCACTCTGTTGTGTTCAACATCCTCATCTGTTCACTCTGTTGTGTTCAACATCCTCATCTGTTCACTCTGTTGTGTTCAACACACTCATCTGTTCACTCTGTTGTGTTCAACACACTCATCTGTTCACTCTGTTGTGTTCAACATCCTCATCTGTTCACTGTGTTGTGTTCAACATCCTCATCTGTTCACTCTGTTGTGTTCAACACACTCATCTGTTCACTCTGTTGTGTTCAACAACCTCATCTGTTCACTCTGTTGTGTTCAACACACTCATCTGTTCACTCTGTTGTGTTCAACACACTCATCTGTTCACTCTGTTGTGTTCAACACACTCATCTGTTCACTCTGTTGTGTTCAACACACTCATCTGTTCACTCTGTTGTGTTCAACATCCTCATCTGTTCACTCTGTTGTGTTCAACATCCTCATCTGTTCACTCTGTTGTGTTCAACACACTCATCTGTTCACTCTGTTGTGTTCAACACACTCATCTGTTCACTCTGTTGTGTTCAACACACTCATCTGTTCACTCTGTTGTGTTCAACATCCTCATCTGTTCACTCTGTTGTGTTCAACACACTCATCTGTTCACTCTGTTGTGTTCAACACACTCATCTGTTCACTCTGTTGTGTTCAACACACTCATCTGTTCACTCTGTTGTGTTCAACACACTCATCTGTTCACTCTGTTGTGTTCAACATCCTCATCTGTTCACTCTGTTGTGTTCAACATCCTCATCTGTTCACTCTGTTGCGTTCAACACACTCATTTGTTCACTCTGTTGTGTTCAACACACTCATCTGTTCACTCTGTTGTGTTCAACACACTCATCTGTTCACTCTGTTGTGTTCAACATCCTCATCTGTTCAATCTGTTGTGTTCAACACACTCATCTGTTCACTCTGTTGTGTTCAACACACTCATCTGTTCACTCTGTTGTGTTCAATACACTCATCTGTTCACTCTGTTGTGTTCAACACACTCATCTGTTCACTCTGTTGTGTTCAACATCCTCATCTGTTCACTCTGTTGTGTTCAACACACTCATCTGTTCACTCTGTTGTGTTCAACACACTCATCTGTTCACTCTGTTGTGTTCAACACACTCATCTGTTCACTCTGTTGTGTTCAACACACTCATCTGTTCACTCTGTTGTGTTCAACACACTCATCTGTTCACTCTGTTGTGTTCAACACACTCATCTGTTCACTCTGTTGTGTTTAACACACTCATCTGTTCACTCTGTTGTGTTCAACACACTCATCTGTTCACTCTGTTGTGTTCAACACACTCATCTGTTCAATCTGTTGTGTTCAACATCCTCATCTGTTCACTCTGTTGTGTTCAACATCCTCATCTGTTCACTGTGTTGTGTTCAACATCCTCATCTGTTCACTCTGTTGTGTTCAACATCCTCATCTGTTCACTGTGTTGTGTTCAACATCCTCATCTGTTCACTGTGTTGTGTTCAACATCCTCATCTGTTCACTCTGTTGTGTTCAACACACTCATCTGTTCACTCTGTTGTGTTCAACATCCTCATCTGTTCACTGTGTTGTGTTCAACAACCTCATCTGTTCACTCTGTTGTGTTCAACATCCTCATCTGTTCACTGTGTTGTGTTCAACATCCTCGTCTGTTCATTCTGTTGTGTTCAACATCCTCATCTGTTCACTCTGTTGTGTTCAACATCCTCATCTGTTCACTCTGTTGTGTTCAACATCCTCATCTGTTCACTCTGTTGTGTTCAACATCCTCATCTGTTCACTCTGTTGTGTTCAACATCCTCATCTGTTCACTCTGTTGTGTTCAACATCCTCATCTGTTCACTGTGTTGTGTTCAACATCCTCATCTGTTCACTCTGTTGTGTTCAACACACTCATCTGTTCACTCTGTTGTGTTCAACACACTCATCTGTTCACTCTCTTGTGTTCATCATCCTCATCTGTCTCTCCCTAGACACCCACATGTCATACTCCAGATGTGGAAACCCCCCATATGTCATACTCCAAATGTCACCACCCCCATATGTCATACTCCAAATTTCACCACCCCACATGTCATACTCCTAATTTCACCACCCCCATATGTCATACTCCAAATTTCACCACTCCCACATGTCATACTCCAAATGTCACCACCCCCACATGTCATACTCCAAATGTCACCACCGCCATATGTCATACTCCAAATGTCACCCCCCCCCCCCACATGTCATGCTCCAAATATCACCACCCTCACATGTCATACTCCAAATGTCACCACCCTCACATGTCATACTCCAAATGTCACCACTCCTCTATGTCATACTCCAAATGTCACCACCCCCATATGTCATACTGCAAATTTCACCACCCCCACATGTCATACTCCTTTCACCACCCCCATATGTCATACTCCAAATGTCACCACTCCCACATGTCATACTCCAAATGTCACCACCCCCACATGTCATACTCCAAATATCACCACCGCCATATGTCATACTCCAAATGTCACCCCCCCCCCCCCCGCATGTCATGCTCCAAATGTCACCACCCTCACATGTCATACTCCAAATGTCACCACTCCTCTATGCCATACTCCAAATGTCACCACCCCATATGTCATACTCCAAATGTCACCACCCCCCCCCCATATGTCATACTCCAAATGTCACCACCCCCATATGTCATGCTCCAAATGTCACCACCCCCATATGTCATACTCCAAATGTCACCACCCCCTACATTTCATACTCCAAATGTCACCACCCCCTACATTTCATACTCCAAATGGCACCACCTCCTAGTGTAAGACTGGAACTGTCAGTTGTAGCAATGTCTTCTCTTGTGTCTCCCAATGTAAGACTGGAACTGTCAGTTGTTGCACTGTCTTCTCTTGTGTCTCCCAATGTAAGACTGGAACTGTCAGTTGTTGCACTGTCTTCTCTTGTGTCTCCCAATGTAAGACTGGGACTGTCAGTTGTTGCACTGTCTTCTCTTGTGTCTCCCAGTGTAAGACTGGAACTGTCAGTTGTAGCAATGTCTTCTCTTGTGTCTCCCAATGTAAGACTGGAACTATCAGTTGTTGCACTGTCTTCTCTTGTGTCTCCCAATGTAAGACTGGAACTGTCAGTTGTTGCATGTCTTCTCTTGTGTCTCCCAGTGTAAGACTGGAACTGTCAGTTGTAGCAATGTCTTCTTTTGTGTCTCCCAATGTAAGACTGGAACTGTCAGTTGTAGCAATGTCTTCTCTTGTGTCTCCCAATGTAAGACTGGAACTGTCAGTTGTAGCAATGTCTTCTCTTGTGTCTCCCAGTGTAAGACTGGAACTGTCAGTTGTTGCATGTCTTCTCTTGTGTCTCCCAATGTAAGGCTGGAACTGTCAGTTGTAGCAATGTCTTCTTTTGTGTCTCCCAATGTAAGACTGGAACTGTCAGTTGTAGCAATGTCTTCTCTTGTGTCTCCCAATGTAAGACTGGAACTGTCAGTTGTAGCAATGTCTTCTCTTGTGTCTCCCAGTGTAAGACTGGAACTGTCAGTTGTAGCAATGTCTTTTCTTGTGTCTCCCAATGTAAGACTGGAACTGTCAGTTGTAGCAGTGTCTCCTCTTGTGTCTCCCTGTGTAAGACTGGAACTGTCAGTTGTAGAAGTGTCTTCTCTTGTGTCCACCAATGTAAGAATGGAACTGTCAGTTGTAGCAATGTCTTTTCTTGTGTCTCCCAATGTAAGACTGGAACTGTCAGTTGTTGCACTGTCTTCTCTTGTGTCTCCCAGTGTAAGACTGGAACTGTCAGTTGTAGCAATGTCTTCTCTTGTGTCTCCCAATGAG